CTGTGTAGAACATCCTTTGGACTGTTATGACTGTAACACTCCAACCTTAAATTTACGTAAGTGAGCATTTGAATTGCAAAATAACTACATATGCAGTGTGATCTTAAATGATAAAATTGCTATTTTCAAATAAAACACATTAGTGAAACAGCTTTTTGGTGGAATATATAGACACTGAAGATATGCTTCCATCTTGTCAAACACTAATTATGCTTACACAATGGCCAGGTACAGACGTTACACACAAAACAGGATAAGTGCTTGGAAACCAGTCTATACCTATAACCAAACAGAAGTTCAGTGCCCATAGACTGGTTTTAAAAATAGCAGAACCCAGTCTAAAATAAACCTGGTATCAGACTTGATCTGTTTAGGCTAGACCTGTATATCTGTTTAGGTTAGACTTGTATTTATGAGGGAGAAAATATTTTCCCCATACTTGCAAGTAAAACTTAGTCATAAATTACCTCCTGTATCCTTGTAAAACTTGGATTTTGTGTAGCAGTTCTTAACAACTTACTGAGTGAACATAACTTTATTCTGTTCTTCTTGATTCTTCCATTAATCCTAGCCACCAGTTAAATTAGTACCTTTTTTCTTTTCTCTTTTGAAATGTAACTTTTTTTACAGCTCAGTAACATTTGTGCATGTTCTAACGCAGGCATTTTCAACCTTTTTTTGGTTGGTGTACCCCCAGTGGCCAGTCCAGAAGCAGGAAATCCCCCAGCTGCAGATAGATGAGTGTGGGGGGGGGGTCCCACACAGCAAAACTGGAAGCACCAACAGCAAAACTGAAAGTGCCCCCTGCTTCTCCATGCCAGTACCACGTACCCCCTGGGGGCTTCCTGTGTACCCCTGGTTGACAAGCCCTGCTCTAATGTAATTTACACTCTGAATTTGGTATAACTGAAAATCTGACTTTTGAAAAACTGATTTGTCAAATTCTTTTCCCCGTGTATATGCTTAGTCAGAGCAATATTTCCTTTCCTGAAATTCTATCTTGCTTAATGTGTATATGTGGTTTAGGAAAATACGAAATCCTTGAGCTCATGTAAATAAGACTTCATTCAAACATTAAGTGCTTCAGATGAGTTTGTGAACCAAAGCCTGGAATAACTTATTTGTTGGAAGCAGCAGAGATTAGACACTATGCTCTTAGGCCCCTGGTAGATGTTAATATAATGGCAGGAATGGGATCTGAGGAGTTCTTATGATCCATGTCATTGCATTTCTCAAGTGGTACTTTATTTCGTCTTTGCAATGGCAGGACATTGCTTTGCGTTTTGTGGTTGTACAAGAGGGCTGGCTGTTCATGCACTTCTAAGAACCGATTAGGCAAACGTTTGTAAAGGGTGGTTAAGGTAGGGTGTATCCTGCCTTCAGCAGAAGGTTAGACTAGATGACCTCCTAAGATCTTTTCCAGCCTGTGGCGATGCCTAGGGGGGTGTATGGGGGTGCATGTGCACCCCCTGAGGGCGCTGGTACACCCTCTGACAGCCAGCATTCTCTACTTAGGCCCTGGGGGGGAGCAGGCCAGGCAGGAGTGCTGGTGTCCCCACCGAGAGCGCCGGCTGCAGAGTGGGGGTGCCAGGAGAAGTGCCACTGGCACTTCTGAGTTAGCACGATCGGCCATGGGGGGGACCCCCCCCAGGTCGACATGATCGGTTCCCCCCATTGCTGACTGGGTGCTGGGGGGGGGGCAAATGCCCCCCGACTCAGGAGACACCAGTTGCCCTTGTTTCCAGCATTAGTCTTCTACGATTCTAAGTACTCGTGTGTAAATTCTCTGGTATAATAAAATGGACAATGTCACGGGGTAGGGGAGAGCTACGTGATTATTACAGCTATCAAGAAACATGCTTAACTGTCAGGACAAGAATGAGCAAGGTATACTTCTGCTTCAAATCAGCAAACCAGAGTGGCTTTTTTGGCATTGGTATAACCATGTGCCCTGTGTTTTGGCTTTCCATTCAGAGAAAGAATGGCTTGCGGTTAAAGTGCTGGACTGAGTCAGACTTGCTTCTTGTTTCCAATTCTGCTGTGGGCTTCTGTTACTGTATGTGATTCACTTACAGCTATCCACAGAGTTGCTATTTTTTCTCTTCTGTTTTGGTTGGTAAGCTATTAGCTGGTAGCCTGCGTGCATTGCCTAGCAGAGGATTTCTTAGACTGTGGGATGTTTCTTCCACTGGGAGGGTGGAAGGGGGTGGGGAAGGGAGAGGCAGGGGTTGGAAAACCTCCATTAGGGACATATGTAAATCATTGCAGCAGTCAGCATTTGCCCTCCACTACTTCAGTCACTGCCACCACTTCCTCTACTGCTTAATACTCCCCACTGCTATTGATTTTGGATTAGGGACAGGAATTGGACTAGGGGCAGGTGCAAAGGGAAGTGGCAGTGGCTGGAGAGAGAATGAGTGCTTGTGTGTGTTTGGAGGCGGGGAGGCCGGAGAACTGGTGGTAACTGAAATACAGGAGGTGTGACTTTACTACTGGAGAGGGGAGAACGTAGATCAACCAGGCTTAGGAAATGCTGGGCTCAACTAACACCAATCGCTTTGTCTTATATATTCAGCAGCTATATGAATTGTTAATGCTGTACTACATTTGTATTCTATTTAAACAGCTGATAAATTTTAAATCAAGAACACTGATGCTTTGTAAGTATGAGATGGCTTTAGAAAAACATTAACTAAATCCTGAACTATTGTGTTTCAAGTCCCACAGTGTAAGACTTTTTAAAACTTTGTTAGCAAATCCAACTTATTGTAACTCTTTAAAGATGCATCCAATCCCCCAGGATATATGTAAAGATGACATTTATCAACAGTGTTCTCTAAACTCAAGTCACTGTACACAGATGAATCGTCTGTTCTTTTTTTCTTTGTGTTGGTCTCTGGCAGTTCCTTTGCTTTAGTTGATGTTAAACTGCTTACACATCTTCATATCTATTTGTAACCTGCTTAATAATTTACTTCCCCTTCCATCCCCCACCCCCATCACAACTATGCATAATACAAAGTCTGCTTTATCAAGCTTCCAGGTGGGATTAGGAAAGTCAGGAGGAAGTATTCTGGGCTTTTTACTTGTCAGATTCCTCCAGAATCAAGTTGAAAGCCAGGTGACTGCAGCCTTGGAGTGTCCCAGGGCTGGGGCTAAAAATCACTTCATTATCAGCACTGTATCTGAATCAGTTCAAGACCTATTGCAGTGTCAAGTCTGGGACCAACAATCAGCAAGCTGTGCATGCTAAAATGATAGTAACATTACCATTCAAACTGTTCAGAACACACTAACTTCTATCCTGCACAGATTTTAATATGTACTAAGTGTCCCATGAGATGGCCCTAAGGAGTTACCTGATACTTGCCATTAGACCTTGTTTTTTAGTTTCAGTAAATTTCGACAAATTATGGACCAACTGAACTGCCAGACTTTAAGTTAAATGTAGGAAAGCTCCACAACTTGAGGCAGCAGTAGGGGTGAGAATTTAAGTCCATAATCTGATTTCTTCTCTTTTTGGTTATCACATAGCTCTAATTTTGTCTGGTAGGACTGAATATTTGCCTGATTGTGTTAAAATATCAAATGTCAAATTCTGGTTCACTTAACTGTTTCATGTCATCTTTAATTTTAGGATGCATAAGGAGTTGAAGGTTTTGAGTGCTGGTTGAAATACCTGAACAGCCTACAAGCAAAAAGAATAATACCCTGAATGGATGAGACTGAAACTGGACTATTTTGGAAGAGGACTTTTTTTATGTTTTGCAGTGTTCAGAAGAAGTTGTTCTCTAGGACTTTTAACAAATAAGATGACAAGAGTTTTTAAAATTTAAAACTCAAAATGAATGTTGAAAAAATAGGAGAAGAGGCAAGGAATGGTTTTCATTCTCCGTTACTTATCCAGGATGAAAATGGAAATAAAACTACATGCAATAAAACTAACCTGACCCCCTCAATGAATTGCACTACTGGTACAAACAGAAATTCAGTTAGTCAAAATAATAAAATTGAGCAAACAGAGGATGCTGATTTTAAAGATATGGGTGATATTAAAAGTATTTCTTTAAACCAACAATGTGTTGGAACACTTGATATACAAAAAACTCCTGGTGATTTTGTTAGTGTGAGCCCTGCCTTGTCAGATACAGGTGCCACTTGTGTGCCTTCTGTGGCTGAACATACTTGCCTATGTGTCTTGGACCATAACTTAAAGGAACCTACTAGATTCCAGAAAGATCACCTTGACCTAATAGGAAGGCAGGGTCAAAGTATTGAACAATTCATTCCTTGCAATTTTACTGATACAAACTTTACAATGCACCTTACCACTTCAGAACTAAACCAAAATGTTAACATCAAAGATGAAGCAGGTCATGCTAATATGACATTAGATTTTGCTAATGTTGATGCATCTCTTGCGATATCTAAAACCCTAGAAGAAACGAGAGAAAATGAACGTGAAGACATGTGTTTTACTCTGTGCATTTCTTCTGAGGATGTGATTGTGAGAAAAAGCTTTGATACAAATAGTCCTGAAAAACCTTTTAGTTCTTCAGTACTGGAAGCATCAGGGGGCCTAAATACAGCAAACAACATCTGTTCAGATTTGGCAATGTTACCTTCTGCTTCTTCAGGTGCCTGTGAACAGCCTTTGAAAGACACTAATTATGTTGATATAGCATCACAAAACAGAGAATCCTCCAAAAAAGAAATACAGCCTTTAAAGGTAGTTGGGGAATGGGTTGAACCTCATTGTAAGAGCTCGATATCACCAGAGTACGTTTGTATGTATGAAGATGCACCAACAAAGTATTTGCACAGCACGCCTGAACATAATAAAACTGACAAATGTCCTACTGAAATAGGAGTGAATTATTTGGCAAATGATTTATGTATCCTTCCAATACAGAGTTTTGATGAAAGCATAGAACAAAAGCAAGTTTTAAATGGAGCAAGTAAGCATATAACCAAAGAACAAAATGCCTTTAAAAATAGTGTTTTCCAGGATGTTGAAACCAAGTCAGTGGCATATGAATCAATACCAAAAAGTATAACAAAACCAGAAGGAACTGTTTCACCTGAGCTCAGATGTGAAGCAACATTTGTAGTCTTCAGTCCTGTAGTGTGTGAAAGCCATTCTACAGCATGTACTTCGACACCTATAGAAAAGTCAAAAAACACAACATTTTCTGTTTCAGAAGTTGGCAGCACCCCTTCTAAACTGGGAAAGAATGATACGGTAGTGAGAGAACATGGTAGAAGGACTTCACTTAAAAGTAGTTTAGGACAAATTGCAGGAAAACCGGCAAATGGATCTCCTACTACATTGATGGCAACCAAAACTAGGAAAATTGAGATTGTTAGCTTTCCAAAACCGAACTTCAAAAATGTTAAACCAAAAGTTATGTCCAGGCCTGTGATCCAGTCCAAAGAGAGTGCTTCATCAAAATCTTCGGGACTGCCTCAGCTATCTGCTACTTCCTCATCTTCACCAGCTTCTTCCCCAAAGCAATTGTCCTCCTCCATCAAAACTTTGAAAAAGAGAATCTATTTAGATTGTGATACTAAAGTTGCAACGCCATTGAATAAGCAACATATTCATAAACAAGTCTCTCCTAGCCAACTTGTATGTGCTGCAACTCATTCCAAAAATGCTTCCCACAGGCTTCCAAAAACACCTGCATTAAAGCAGAATCCAGAAGATGCTGATAAAGCAAGCTCTTCTAATTCTGCGTACTCCTCTGTTGCTGCTACAGCTGTAACATATGAACATAATTCAAAAGGGACATTAAGTGATAAAATGGAAAACACAAATGCATTGGCACGTCCATGTATCTCAAATGTCCATCAGACTTGGGTTGAAAATGAACAAAATCTCAATCTCGGAAGACTTTCAGAAACTGAGGCATTAAGAAGAGATGCAGTGAATGAAACATTTGAATTATCCTCTATGCCCCTGGTAAGCTGTGGAGTTTTTTTAAAATAACTAAAACTTAATATCCAAAATCTAGTTGATATTAAAAATCAAAACAAATCTCTAATATCTAAATTATCTAGATAGATTGATATATCTCATGATTTATGCTTGTATGCTTTAAACCTGGAGATCTGTTGAAAAGCAATGAATGGAAATTTTGGGGTGGATATTTATCTTAAAATGTCAACGCCATACACAACACGGTGCAGAGAAAAGGAGAAATATAGACTCATACTTACTTTAAGTTTACTAACTGGTTATTATTAAATTCACTTAAAAGAAAGCATTTGTCTGATAGTCTCATCCTTAATCCCATACTCCAGCATATTTTTTTTTTAAAAGGAAATAAGTGAAAGCCTGTCTAGAAAACTTTATGGCAAGCAAGATGTGGATTTTTCATAAGTACGACTGAATCTTTGTATATTCAAACTCAAAGTAAGGTTGTTCAGTTTGTTTCACTTAACCTTTCTAAAAGTAAATCCTGAATTTCATCAGGATGTTCAAATTCTTTCTTTCAATGGTTGATACCTGAACAGAACACAATACTTTAAATGAAAATTAACTTTGTCGTCTTTGATGCAGGTGAATTTCTCATTACAGAAACTCATTTTAAATTTTTTTTTAGTACAGTTGAACTTGGGGTAACAATTTACATTGGGTTTTTTGTTTTTTTTTTGTTATGGAACTGAAATATTCCACTGTTAACATACTTTCTGTAGTCACACTAGATAGTAGAGCAGGTGTTAAATTTCAGCTAAACTCTTAAGAAAAGCTTAATATTTCTAAACTTATTTTTAAAGATTAAAAAATGACTAGTTTGAATATCCAAGCTAAGCAAATGTACTCTGAAACGTAGTGGCTATGCCTTTCATTATCACTTCACCATTTTTGTGAAGGATTCCTTTTTAGAATTTGTCAGCCCAAATCTAATGGACTGACACAATTCTGCTGCTGAATAAATCCTAGGATATAAGTCAAAGCCTGGGAGCCAGAAATTGAGGTGCATGTTCCAGACCCTACCGGTGACATAACTAGCAATAATTCCATTTACTTTAGTGGGGGTAGGATATTTTGCCTACTGTTGCTTACTACTGAGCCAATAACCATAGAATAGCCTAGTCAAATTCATTTGGTCTTTTCCATTACACTAAACATCATTAAACTGAAACAACTCTTTGAAAGGTCTGCCAAATATGTCTAAAACTCTGTACTGTAGCAGTTCAAAATGGAACCCTTTATAGTTCAAAATGGAATTACCAAGGTAAACTTTGGGATTAAAAACAACCTAATATTTTAAATTTAAGTCTAAAATGCCATAATGTCATAAACAAAGACTACCTCTTTTGCTTTGCTCTGATTTTTGGTGGCTTCTAAGGGAAGATGGTGAGCCTTCCATCTATTTAATTGCCAAGGTGGAAGTCTCTGGCTTATTATTTCCGTTAAAATGTGAAAATCCCTTGGATTACATTGTTAAATGCTCTTTGCATAGAGCATTTAGAATATTGCACTGGAGTCTAAGTTCTTATCAAGGAAAATAATATCCCCTTTTTACTGAAGCCAATTCACTTTGGGAAAAGGGTTGTGGCTCAAATTGGAAGTGAAATTTGTGGCTCTAAATGTGTCCAAATTATTATGAATCTATTACCCCCCCCAAAATGGATAGGAGCATCTCTGGGTGCTGATATTAGAAATTATCTTATGGGGGCTTTTGAGATTCTCATTTCATTCTGCAATTAAAGTTTGACAGTATTACATCCATTTCTGAATCTAACAATCAACTCAGTTGGATGGGAAAAGGTTTCTGTCTGGGTAACTCCATGTGCATTCAAGAAAGAAAATAGCCCTCAATTGATTGCTGACTTACAATCCTACTTAGTTTCTTCGTTTGGATTTTAAAATGTCATAATCACAGTAGTAGAGCAACAGAGTACATTTAACTCAGCCCTTTTTAACTCACGTTCTTCTCAGTTCTGTAAACCATGTAAGTGACTTCTGGTGTTTCAAAATGTACAAAGTAAATCAAAGTACCTGAAAAAAGGGGGGTTGGGGGAGGGAGGGTTATTGGTATTCATGCCTAAAATTAAGCTTGTTAAACTTCTTGCTTTTATGAATAGATTTCATATAAGTGTCCATGGCTAATTTGGAATTAGTTTTATGTCCTTTCTCTCTTCCCTTTCCACACCCCCTCACTCTTGTGGGCTATACAATAGTTTCATGTATATGCTAAACTCTTAGTTGCAAAGGATATTGTTCATCTGTCTCTTCTCTCATGGATCAAATGACAGTAAGTATCTAACCAATGTCATTTTGACTAGTAACTTACTGATAATTGACACCAAAACGTATTTAGCTAGCAATAGACAACTTTGTTCCTAAAACAGAATTGTGTTTTACAGGTTTCTTCAGTTAAAGCTGGAGCAGCAAATAATTCACATATTGATCTTGCAATTAATTCTTGTAATGTAATGTAACAGGA